ATAATAGCAATAATAATAATAAATTAAGTAATGTCAGAATTCGAGCCCAGAATAGAGAAAGGTGGAAAGTGTTTGTTGGTTGCCTATACCCTGGTGGAGGATGAAACAGCAGTAATGATAATGAATATACCCTCATCAATTTAAAGTGTTCAGATAGTGGGTTGCTTCAATCCTGCCAATCTGGGCTGAAAGCGTTTTAAACAATGGTAAAACTATCTGTAAAACTATCTGTTTAACGCCCCAGTCAACAAACGAGCTTAGTTTAACTCTGGCACGTTTTTGAGTGTACTTCAGTTGTATTCAGTACCGACAATCTTGTTGCTATTGTTGTTGTTATTGTTTGTGTTATTGGTGCTGCTCCTGCTGCTGGTGGTCTCATTGTCTTGCTTGTTTTGTCGTTACTGTTACTTTTACCTTTATTGTTACTATTAAAATTTTAATGTAATCCCCCGTCCCCCCCCGCCCCAAAAAAAAAATAAAAAAATAAAATGTCAGTTTCATGTTTAAGACATGAGGCAAATTTAATTTAGCCTTATACTGTTTTATACGTACTTTATTTCCCTCCAATTCTCCGATCCCCAGGCTCTCAAACTGGTTCGGCGACACTTGCAGACGACGGTGGCCAGATCCCGTTGCTACATGGGCCTTGGCATGATGCAGAAGGCCCTCGAGGACACGGAGTCTGCTCTTGACATCAACGCAGGCTATCTCCCGGTAAGGAAGCACTCGGGGATAAAAGTAAACTTGAACCGTCCGATTATAAACTTACATGACCTGCTAATCAAATCTTATTTCTTTGCGCTCTAGGGTGTCACATGTAGTTGGCCTTGACGTCTTTCTTCAAAAACGTATTTAAACCATGTTTATAGTAAACAGCAACAAAAAAGGGGGCGGGGCGCGCTAAATGTACTTGTACTTTTAACAGTACTGGTTTGAACACCCTTTTAAAGAACTGGAATACCATTTGTGACGTTGGTCTTTTCTTTAAAGGCTCATTCTCGAGGAAAAGAAAGCCTAGCGGGAAGATAACTTTGGAAACGTCACTGTCAGCTCAAACGAAGAATGTCCCGATGCGGTTTCACATCAATGTCATTGTGTGGAATGGTTTGAACACCCGTTTCAATACTGCAAAACAATATAGTAGGCAGGCTCTCTGATGAATTCGGAGTCCATCTTCAATAGAGCAAGTTAAAAGATTTGAAAACTCCCAAAACAAATCCAATTCAAAACTGCCCCTCTTTGGATTCCAACCAAGGTCATACACTACCTCATCAAACATGGCACAATAAAAAAAAAACACAGCTTGCGTCATTGTGCACATGTGCTTGTGCGTAGATTTGTATCATCATCATTATCGTAATCAAAATAATAATCATCCTCACCATTTACAGCCTTTCGCACCTTGCATCAGAGCATAGGTCACATGTTTGTATTATATGTGTATAATACCCCTGTCCAAATATTCGTTTAATTTGATAGATCGTGGCTTAACGGAAGGGGAGCTTTGAACCAAATCCCCCCAAAAAAGAATATTTATTTCCATAAAAAGTGAGTTGCAGATCCAAACTAGGGTCATCCCTACCGTAGTCCACCATGATGCCAACTGAGCTCTAAGGGCAACAAACACATACCAAATAATAGAGATAGATGATTTGCAAATACCACCCAACCCCTCAAAAAATTTAAAAATAAAAGAAACCACCCCCCCAAAAAAAAAATTATTTAAAAATAAAACAACCAACAACAAACAAACAACCTATGATTATAATTTGCATTAAGTTCAGTAACCTTCACTTGGTTCCACAGGCGGTCTACCAGAAGGCGGAGATCCACTACAGACAGGGGCATTACGAGATGGCCTTGATGACCTTCAACAGGGGTCACAAACTTAACCCCAGCGCCCCGGGGTTCTCGGAAGGCGTGCAGAAGGCACAGCACGCTTTGGACATAATGACCGCAGGTCAGTAAGGTTAACTTCCTTCTTGACTTTGTTTTACGTGACCACGAATTTGGACTGAGATGATATAAACTTTCTTTTCAAGCTTTACTTTTTAATTCTTTACTGTATATGACAGTGCTTCGACTGGCGTCTGTAATAGCATGTCTACTATTACATATAATTATTACCATATCTACTACGCCCCCGTGGACGTAATGTTGATGATTTAGTATGTGAGTTTTGTCCTTGGGACCAACACGGGATGACCGAGATACAACGTCAATAACACCCTGCCCCTAAAAAAACAAACAAAAATCAAACAAAAACCAAACAAAACAACAACAAAACAAAACAAAAAGACAGAAAACAACCACAACAAAAAACAAACAAACAAAACAAAACAAAGACCAAACAAAAACTCCAACAACGAACAAACCAGAAAGAAAACAAAACCAAAAAAAGGGGAAAAAAAGACCCGGAAATAGATTCAATTAATGCTCCTCACAGACGGGGATCGAATTCAGGTCTTCTGCTTGTGACAGCAAAGCGCTTTGCCGCTCCACCACTGACGCGGCTCCTCCGTGTATCTGTGATGTCGCCGGCGTTTGAGGTCAAGTGGTTCAACTTCTTTTTACTTACACTAGCCTGGCGAAAGGAGGGGAGGAGGGTAGAAAGCCTATAATGGTTTGATATAGGAGATAGATAATGATATGATCAATCACAATGTTTTTTTACATTTTTATTCGAAAGCTTTAAAGCGATGAGGATTCTTAAATTGGAGTATGCACTGTACAGGCAAAAAGCTTCATAGTTGCCTTATGTATCCACATGAAATTGATCGTTCTAACTCCACTTTTATCAGTCTCTAGAAAAGTAGGACTTTCTGCTTGTACAAAGGTAGAAATTAGAATTAAAATCTCGATTCCAATTCGGATGACATCCTCCAAAAACAGTCACTTTAAGATTAGACAATTACAAAACCAAGAGATCAGACAGAGCTTTAGTACAGGATAATATTAGAGTCAATTTTAACCTCAAGAGGAAAACGACCACTTTAATCTTCACCGGTATATTATCAATCAATTTGATTCCTTCGCATTGCAACCTGTTTTAGTATGCGCTGTACAGGCACAAATTCACGATTCATACCTAAGTTATGTTTTTTTTTTCTGCTCTGTCCGGATGGTGTATTGGGTTGGCCTTGACAGATAGAGTCGAAGCTGCCCATTTCTACAAAGCTTATAATTTACAAAAATGGGGGCGAGCGTAAGGCATGAAAATTTGAAAAAAAATTCTGCATTAATTAACCAATGATGTGGCCAGATTGGACATGGATGGCTGGTGCCTCTATAAATAAATCATTGATGGTCAGGTCATGAGGCCAGATTTTTGCCTCACTGTCTGAATATTCAACTCAGTGAAAAGAATAGAGCAGAAAAATAGAAAAGTAACAATGTTATATAGTTGGGGCAAAGGTAGAACAGTTTGATAAGTATGGGATACTGCTGACATCTTTTTATTTGTATAAGGCGATGCTGAAACAATGTTATATGAATGGGGCAAAGCAAACAATATTTTATGTGTATGAAGCAACGCTAAAACCAAAGACTTTTCAGAGAAATCGCTTTTTGACATGATGGCTTGTTCTGGCTCTGTAGCATTTGTCAATGATCAGTTTTCAATTGTTCTAAAATGTCAATGGAAAAGGCTTTGTAATCTTTTGAAATAGATAACAGTAATACTTGAAAAAGAATACAATGAAAAAACAGCTTCAAAATGTGTTGTGTAATATTAACGATTACCAGTAGATAAGAAATAATAAATGAAGGCTAAAGGATAAAAACTAAATATCTCTCTCTCTCTCCCTTTTTCTCTTCCTCACTCTGTTCTCTCTCTCTCTCTCTCTCTCTCTCTTTCTCTCTCTCTCTCTCTCTCTCTCTCTCTCTCTCTCTCTCTCTCTCTCTCTATCTCTCTCGGACTTACACAGGACATCAGCGAACATTTTAAAACTTCGGGGGCGGGGGGTGGGTGGGAGGAGGGGGCTTAATTGATACAAACATTAGTTTTAACATACACGTTTTTCGTAAAAAATATTTCATGCAAAGCTGAACTGAACTCCAACATTGTGTCCTCTTTCCACTCTGCCATAGATAGCGAAAGAATTTGCCAGTATGTCAGCGTTATAGAGCCTGTGAAATTGCAAATTGCACTGCATGCTTTCGGAAATAATTTGATGATATTACATTTTCAAACTTGCTGTCATGTCTTCTGGGGATATAAAAATAGATCCAAAACGTTTATAGCTTGCTGAATTTTTGCTAAGCAAATTAGTGCTATTTATTATACATACATACATACACACATACGGGCAGGCAAACACACACAAACACACACACACACACACACACACACACACACACACACACACACACACACA